ATTTATTTGATATTAACTTTAACATTGTATTATGCACGTTATTTACTAGTGAGGCTAAATTAATTGTATCTGAATACTCTAATAAAATTTCGTTTTACAGGAACATTATAAAAACTTAGGATCCCAATAAATTACTGAGCATTGGTTGTATCAGTCTTCATTTGCTCCAGAAAGTAGCTGCACCTATGGTCCCAAGAAAAGCATGAAACTGCCTTTTTTTCCATTGGGAATGGAGACGGTGGCTGTTGCTGAGGATATGATTTATGACAATGAACTAGTATGTAAAAGTATCAATTAAAAACAGTAAGTGAGGTCCCTGAAATTTAATTTTTTAGACATTTGTAACTTGCTTCAATAGACAACATTTAAACAACATTTTAGATGTGGCAGATGCAGAGTTAATGTGGAACAGATCTTTTCATAAGTGTGAATGTTACTGATTTACTTGTTTTAAAAGTGGTAATTAATTACTTTTTCTTGCCCGTCTCTATAGATTTTCTAACAAGTGAGAAGGAATTAACTTTGGTGCTACTTAAACAACCGTCGCTTTTGATGAGAGATAATTAATGTTCATAGTGAAACAGCCAAATTCTACATGGGCGTTGTCTTTCATTTTGATGCTACTGAAAAAATAAGTTGTCTCCTTCCTATGGCGTTTTATCTGTTCCATCTTGAAGGCTGTTATAGTTAACTGATTAAGGTGAGCATGCATGCTATATTATATATGTAGTGTATTTCACATAAGAGAGAAAAGGGTTTGGCATTACTTTAATGATGTATCATGCACGTTATTTAGTTACAATTAAATTAATTATATCTTACCACTTTTTCATAGAATTTATTCTACAAGAACATTAGAAGAACTCAAGATACCATTAACTTATGGAGCACTGGTTGTATTAGTCCTCATTTGCTATAGAAAATAGATGTACTTGTGGTCTTAAGGAAAGCATGAAAGTGCCTTTTTTCCATTGGGAGAGGAGACAGTGTGCTAAAGAAAGGATTTATGACAATGAACTGGTATGTAACAGTATCAATTAAAAATAGTAAATGAGGTTCCAGAAACTTCAATTTCTTAAGACATTTATAACTTGCTTCAATAAACAACTTTTGAACAAAACAGTAGGATTAATGTGGGACTGATCTTTTCATCAGTGTGAATGTTGCTAATTTACTTGTTTTAAAAGTGGTAATTAATTACCTTTTTCTTGCCTGGTTCTGTAGATCTTCCAATAACAGAAGGAATTAATTCTGGTGGTACTAAAACAACTGACGCTCTTGATGTCTTCACCTTACAGCATGAAGTACTTAATTTTGGCATTGAGAATGGGAGGCAATTGTACATTAATTCGGAAGCTACTGGAACAGCAAATTATCTTCAGTGGTTTGTAGATTTGGTTTGCCTATCGTACTGGTAGACTTTAGAATGCTACTTTCAACAACTAATTCAGGTGAGAATGCATGACTTCATTAATATTAATTGATCTTTATTAATTTACCATGGAAATTCTCTTAACAGTTATCTATTGTCAACAGTACGAATTGAGGTTATTCTGCATCTGTATCTCTTAACAATTTTTATTTTCCACAGAATATATTGATATTTGTCATTCATCTATGGATTTCTGTTTAGCCTTCATCTATTATCCGCATAATAAATTGACGTCGTGTTATTTGACATTTATCTATGTCGGGATCTGTGGTTGTGATACAAAATATGAAAATAACGTTTGTCATTTAATGACTTAACTGTTTTACTTGCTTTTTGGTGCGTTTTTAGTTGCGTTAAATGTGTTTCTTAATTAGTAGGGTGATTGATATGTGTTTTTGTCCTTTTCTGCAGGTTATCCAACAGATGAGAGAGAATTAATGTTCAGTTTGGTCATACTGAAACAGCCGATGTCTACATGGGCGTTGTCTTTCGTGGAGTATATTTGCTGTTTTGTCCTCATCTTGCAACATTATGCAGTCAATTTTCAATCGACGAGTGAGAGCAACTGGAGATTTATTCGAATTCCACAGAAACAACAAATTTTCTGCTATGGTATTTCTCCTGAAGTTGGTTTGCTTTTCACACCTGCAAACTTTGAAACATTACATCCTACAGTTAATAAAGGTGAGAATACTTGATATAATTAACTTTAATTGCTCTTTATTAATCTGTTTGCCATCGTATCTGTTTCAGATCGACGTTGGAGAAGACAAAGATGACCCCGTAGTTGAAATAGTTATATGTACACGTATTGAAAATTTCGATTCGAAAAATATCCCTTATATTGAGTTTTACTATAAGTGCTGCAGCTGGAATATAGCATTCAATCTTGATGTCTCACTTGCCTAAAAATCACTACCGACCTAAAAAACTTTCAGCTGTTTCAATTCTACGGCAACATAACGTAAATTTAATAAGAATAGCTGAAATTAATAGATTAGTTTTTAAATATTGAAAAGAAGGGCAAGTAGGAGGATCCTTTTCCAGAAAGGACAGAAAATACAAAGGAACGATTGTTCTCCTTAAAGGAGGACGATTGGTCGCTTTCAATAGGTATCTGCGCGAAAAATTAATATTAGGAATACAATAGTACATTGTGATATAGCAGTATTAGCATCTAGCAAGGAGGAGTTAGAGTTAGCTTTAAATAAACTGAAAGCGGTATTGACAAAACAGTATTGTATGAAAATAAATAAAAGTAAAACAAAAATACTGGTTGCAAAGAAATAAAAAGTAGGGAAAGAGTGAATGTAAAGATAGGAGACGAGAAATTAGAAGAAGTAGCCGATTTTAGGTCAGATAAGTCAGGACGGAAGGAGTAGTAGGGATATGAAGCAGAGGATAGCGCAGGGTCGAGTCGCCTTCAGTAAAGGAAGTCACTTCTATGCTCGCGAACGGTTAATTTAGAAGTTCGAAAAGGTCGTTAAAGGTGTATGTTTGAAGCACGGCGCTATACGGGTGCGAAACACGGAGAGTGAGCGCGGAGGAAAAGAAAAGGTTAGAAGCGTAGAAGCGTTCAAAATGTGGTGTTACAGGCGAATGATAGAGAAGAGTAGAAATGAAGAGGAGTTAGAAAGAGTAAGAGAACTGAGGACTCTAAGGAAGTCAACAAGAAATAGGCGAGATAGGTTAGTAGGATACCGAAGTCAGAGACATATTAGTGGCAGATACGGAAGTAAGGAAGGATAAAGGTAGACCTAGATTAGATTACTCTTCGCAAATAGTTAAGGATGTGGGTTGGTCTAGTTTTAGACCGAGCGGCATGGCCTAGAGGTCTAGACCATTGCTTAGGATTCGGGAGGACGCCGGTTCGATTCCGGGTCCGTCTGCCTTGGTCCAAGTTTTTCTGTGGTTTCCTTGGATCACTTAGGCAAATGCTGAGGCAGTAATATTCCACAGATAATCTTTCATTCT